ATCTGCATAGCTTTCACCTGGCAATTTGTTCTTCTAGGAATTTTATCTTCCAGATATACTTGCATAAGGTCACAAAGCTACATGAACAGAGATGTCCTTTGCAGTGACATTTTGTTATGTTGAAAAATTAGAATCAACATAAATGTTCAACAGTACAACTGGCCAAATACATACAAGCTGCCAACCATCCCAGTTTGCCCAGGGCGATCCTGGTATTAATACTAAAAATCCCAGGCCGTGGGAAACTCTTTTTTTTTTTTTTTTTGGAGATGGAGTCTCCCTCTGTCGCCCAGGCTAGAGTTCAGTGGCGCGATCTCGGCTCACTGCAAGCTCCGCTTCCCGGGTTAACGCCATTTTCCTGCCTCAGGCTCCAGAGTAGCTGGGACTACAGGTGCCCATCACCACGCCCGGCTAGTTTTTAGAGACGGGGTTTCACCATGTTAACCAGGATGGTTTCGATCTGCTGACCTCATGATCCACCCATCTCGGCCTCCCAAAGTGCTGGGGTTACAGGTGTGAGCCACCGCGCCGCCGGCTCTGGGAAACTCTTTAATCCCCTACAGCCCTCAGGCAGCTGGTGACTCCAAATACACTACAGTGTGGACAGGCAGAGAAATACTACAAAGTCATGAAAAATGGCATGTGGGTTTCAGTACTACTATGGAGATGTCCATGTGACAGCAAATGAAATTAAACTAGACGCCAAGTTGCGAGTGGCAGGTGTGGCAGGATTTGAATTGTGTGAGGGTTTGATGTGTGTGGAATCGACCTCTCCGCGTGCACAGAGCGCCTGGGAGGGGGAACAAGGAGCCGGCCGTTCGTACGTGTCTCTCTGGAGCCTGTGGTGGGAGGGGTTACTACGTTTTGCTTTATATCCCACTGTGCCATTGGCTTCATTTACTTTGTGTGTGCATGGATTTTATAATTAAAAAAATATTTTCTAAAGGAAGTGTGACCTTGATCTGCAGTGAAAGGCAGGTGGGTGGGCCCTCTGGATCACAGCCGCAGTAAGGCCGACTCCGAGGGGTCCAAGGCTGCTGAAACCTTTAGCAAGGCAGGGAGATGGGGGAGAAGGAGGGGTGTCCCAAGGTCAAGGTCCCAGGGCAGGCGGAGGCAGCAGACTCCTCCCCTGAGGGGAACCCCTCGCCTGGGGCCACCTTCTGGCAGCGACTCTAGCCCCTCTTGCCGCAGGCAGCCCCTGGTCTCCACCAAAACACGGCCAGCCTGGGATTGTTAAACAAATTGACTGGCTGGGCCCTGAGCCCGGCTAATTCTTGTGTCTTAATGAGTGGGAAGATGAGGTTTTATTCATCACTGGGGCTTTAAAAATTGCAGTAAAGTGGCCCAATTTATAAAGAAAAAATCAATAGCAAAAAGAAAACAGGAGTATGTAAATGGACGGGGTGACAAAAAGCAGGCCAATTACCCCCAAAATGAGACATAGTTATGGCTCCATTAACTCAATTATATTTTCAAAAGGATTTCTTACGAGGCCCCCACCCCACCCCACCCGCACACGCCTGTAATTTTTACATCAACTTCAAGCCATTAAATTGCATTAAATTATTTTGTGGGAGAGAGAGGTGTGTTTCGGAAGACAGAGCTGCAGACGGCCCTGTCCGGCTCCACGGGGGGGATGGGGGTCAGGGGTGCTCAGGCAGGGAGCCCCCACGGGGGGCCGTCCAGGGGGCAGGCTCCGGGGAGCCAGTGGAAGAGAAAGCCGTGGGCTTTCCCAGGTGTGGCAAGACCAGGGCCCAGCCAGGGACAGCAAGGGACTTGGTTGTTCCCAAGACCCTAAGTCCCCATGACATGTTTACCTCCAGATGATTCCGTACTCTATCCACACCCCCAGACAGGTGGCCCGGAATATGCCAGTCCACACGTGGGCACCTAACCTTGCTGGCTTCGTGAGTTTCTCTTTGTTCCATTCGACTTAGAAAACTTAATTTTTTGGAGATATGGAAAAATAAAGTTGTATGAAAACACATCAGGCCGGGCGCGGTGGCTCAAGCCTGTAATCCCAGCACTTTGGGAGGCCGAGACGGGCGGATCACGAGGTCAGGAGATCGAGACCATCCTGGCTAACACAGTGAAACTCCGTCTCTACTAAAATACAAAAAAACAAAAAATTAGCCGGGCGTGGTGGCAGGTGCCTGTAGTCCCAGCTACTCGGGAGGCTGAGGCAGGAGAATGGCGTGAACCCGGGAGGCGGAGCTTGCAGTGAGCCGAGATTGCGCCACTGCACTCCAGCCTGGGCGACAGAGCGAGACTCCGTCTCAAAAAAAAAAAAAGAAAACACATCAGAATGGGGGACTACTCAGGGGTATGTTTGAAGCCTATCCCTTTTTTTTTTTTCTTTTTTTTTGAGACAGAGTCTCACTCTGACACCCAGGCTGGAGTGCAGTAGCACAGTCTCAGCTCACTGCAACCTCCACCTCCTGGCTTCAAACCATTCTCATGCCTCCTGAGTAGCTGGGATTAAAGGTGCCCACCACCATGCCTGGCTAATTTTTGTATTTTTAGTAGAGACAGGGTTTCACCAGGTTGGCCAGGCTGGTCTCGAACTCCTGACCTCAGGTGATCCACCTGCCTCAGCCTCCCAAAGTTCTGGGATTACAGGCGTGAGCCACCGTGCCCGGCCTGATGCCTATTCTTCATACCACGCTTTGCAGGCATAGAGTGAGTCCCTGGAACTCGGGGCTTTGAAGTGACACTGGGCATGACTCACTTATTCAAGCATGAATCACCCTGACCATGCTGGGGAGGCCTTGAAATCCCAGAGTCCATGCACAGTTCCTGGCTGCTTCTATAAATGTGCCCAGCCCTGAGGCGTGGTGACTGTAACCTGCTTTTCCCCGTCAGCCGGGCCCTGGGGAGCCCAGGCCTGCCCTACATAAGTCTGCACCTGGGCCGCACGGGACTGAGTAGTTAATATCATGGATTTCAGGCAGAGTGGAGGAGGAGGAAGGGCTGGGATGTGGAGGGGACCCTCAGACAGGTGTCCTGGGCAGAACACTGAGGGCCACCTGGCCAGCGTCAGCAGTCAGAGACTATAAACCCAATGGCAATGGACAAACAGAGGGTACAGAATTGGGCTGAGCGGTGGGGTGGGGGGGACCCTGAGGCAGGAGCCAGGGCCCCTCCAGGGCTCAGGGCCAGGGAGCCAGGGCTGGCATGACGAAGCTTAAACCACAAAACAGAAGAAAGCAAATCTGCCCCATTCTGCCTTCCAGGATGTCTCACCCACACAGCAAGAGGACCTGCACAGGACAGGACCCAGGGGGTGGGGCTGACCCGTGCAGGGTGTGCCGACCAGTCCTGAGGGGCTGCCCTTCAGGGTCCCTAGGCCGCCGGCCCTGCCAGGGGCTGTAGGAGCAGCAGTGAGGGAGGACAGAGAAGGCAGCCGAGGCAGAGGGACCCTCTCCAGCTGGCTCCTGCAGGGCTACGGCTCTGCGTTGCTGCTTGCCTGTGCTCCAGCCCCTGTAGCCTCCATCCCTCGCACAGCACCCCAGACTGGAAGAGCCTATGCAGCTGCAAGACAGTCCCCCCTCCCCTCACAGCCAAGCACGCCCTCAGCCCCAGTGTGAGGGTCTGGGACAGCAGACTGACGGGGGCAGGTGGGAAAAGACCACGTGCATGATGTGTGCATGTGAGTACATGTGTGTAGATGTGTAAACACACATGTAAGAGACAAGGATACACCCTCAACTCTTACTGCTCCCCGCACCAGACCCTCAGGGGGTCATCCGGACCCCAGCATGTGCTTCCAGGTGGATGGAGAGGCTGCTTAGAACAGTCTTCACTCCAGGCAACACCTGGGGAGGATCCTGAGGCAGGAAAGTGGGTGCCACGTGTGGGGCCTAGAGGACGGTCTGGGAGGTCCCAGGGGAGGGAGTGACACCTGGGGCAGGGCAGGGCAGGGTGAGGGGAGGCTGAGGCTGGGAAGCTGAGGAGACCCGGGCAGCTCTGGGGCCCCAGAGGCCTCAGGCTGGGGGAGCTGCCAGGTGCTGGGGAGATCGTGGGTGCAACCCAGCCCTGCCCTGCGCAATGCTCCTCAACCCGTGCCTTGTCACCACCCCAGACCCTGGGTCCTCCCCACTCTCCCAACCCTCAGGGACCCTCTTTCAGCCCCCAGCCCTAAGGACAGTATGTGGCTGCCCTCCCTGGCTGCCCGCCACCCCTGGGCTGGAGCTCCAGCCTCCTTCCCGCTCCTTCAGGCCCTGTCAGTCATTTGCCTGCTCCTGCCGGCCAGTGACCTCTTGTCCATGTGCTAAAAGAGCCATTGTTCAGGAAGAGATGGAGGGGAAGGGCCGGCTGGTCAGGCCTGGGTACTGGTCAGACTCTGGCGTGTGCCAGTGGGTGGACTTGGTTGTCCCCTGGGGCCAGCTGGGCAGCCCGTGGGCCGTGGAGGCAGCGTCAAGCGGCTGGGGAGGCCTGAGTGAGCTCGCAGGCCACCTCCCCTCCTCTCAGCGCCTTCCTTTCCAGCTGAGCCTGAGGGAGGCTGAAGAATATGCATTTTGCCCAGTAGGCTGCTACAGCCTCTTGTCCAGCGCAGACCCTGGGGGCGGGGGACACACGGGGGCTCCCGGTGTGGCCAAAGAGGCATTGGAGAAGGGACTTCCCTGAGGCGGCCTCTGGCTGGTGGCAGCTGGGAGCCCTCTGCTTGAGGAGCGGCCGTCACAGCATGGCCCCTGCAAGCCGTGGCTCTAATGCAGTGCTCTGGGGCTGGCAGGGCCTGGGCATGGGGACCAGGCAGAGCTGGGGTCCCAGGCCCTGCATGGTGTCAACTGACAGGACACTGGGCAATCTCCCGAGCCTGCCGGCCTTCCTGGCCTCAGCCATAAGATGGGCTGAGAGAGAGCGGAGGCTCTGTGGCGGGATTGGGTGAGGAATATTTGAGCCAGAGGCCAGCCTGGCTCTGCGCGGCCCCGGGAGGCCAGAGGTGCCTCCTCTGTCATCTGGAGGAGCCGGCTGCAGAGGCCTCCTGTTCTGTTCCTCAGGCAGCGGCCCCGTCTGGCGTTCCCAGGCCACCCCAGTGCTGGGGGAGTTGCAGGTGGTGGGGTCACCTTGGAGGGGGTACAGCCCGTTCACATCGGCTCTGCTTCCCTCTCTCCCCACCCCCACGGGCTGGCTTGGCTGAGCCCGACGCTTCTCAAGGTGAGGAGGGCGTCCTTGAAGGCTCTGGCCGCCCCACACCAAGGTCTTTGCACCAAGGTCATGGCCGCACAGGAAGCGGGAAGGGTGGTGGGGAGGTTATGGTCCGAGGGAGGAGGGAGGGCAGGGGAGGGAAATAAAAAGAGATTACATTTTTTAAAAGGTACTCTAGCTGTCTGCTGACACCGCCCCTGGTCTCCATCCGTTTTATAGCCTGACGGGCTTGAGCAGCTGGGCCTCGTCCGTCCGTCAGGGGCCTGCAAAAGGCAGGGGCTGAGAGCAGAGCCCCCGCAGGAGACCTGGATGGGGGCCACCTCTCCCCGGGCCTGGGTTCCCTCTGGGGCTGCCCAGGCCGGGCAGGGGCGCTCTGTGCAGGTGGGATGGGTGGAGGGAAGCTGGCTTGGGGCCGGCGGCCACTATCTGGGCCCATCTATCCCCCTGACAGGTCAATTTTCTCTCGTGTTTTACAGGAGCTTTCAGGGCAGGAAATGTGATCGGGCAGCTGATTTATCTCCTTACCTGGTCTTTGTTCACAGCCTGGCTCCGGCCCCTCACCCTGCTGCAGGGCCCGAGGATGTCTCCCCAGGGGTCCCCACCTCGGCCTCCTTGGGGGGACTATGCTGAGCCCAGCTGCCTCTGTGAGATGAAGATAAGAAGAAGACATGAAGGGCCTGCCTGGGGGCAGTCTGGCTTTCTCGCAGAGGGGCTGCACCTGGCTCCCTCCTCCCTCTCACCAGCAGCCTGTGGGGTGGTGAGGATGAAGGGGCTGTGGGGCCGGGGTGCAGGGATTAGGAGGAGGTGACTCCCATCTCTTCTTCCTCATCGTGTTTTTCACCTCTTAAGTCAACTTTGGTTTCTCGGACTCAGAGTTCTCTCCTGACGGCAGCGGGGTCCTCAGATCACCGGTGCAGACAGGGCCAGACAGGGCCAGTGTGGGGACCCACTCAGCCTGTGCCCTCTGCAGGAGGGAGGTCGGAGGCCTCAGCAGCCACCCTGGCCACCTCCTGAAATAGTGAATGTCCTTCGTTTTCAGCTGACAAGCTCTGATCTTATAACAAGGTACGGAAGTGTTCAGAAAACTTTCAGCAGATGTTCGAGGAAAAACAGCTCAGCTTCCCATGCCCCCCACCTCTGCCAGGAGCGACCCCATCTCCCTCAAACAGAATTCTGGGAACCTGGGACCATAGGTCTTCCTGTGCCTCCCCTGCCAGCTCTGCACGACTTTGTCACGTACTAGAGTGCTGGCTGAGGTGATGCTGCCGCTACCAAACAGGTGGGAGGCCAGCCCTAGCCCCAGCCCCAGCCCCACCGGGGCCGGAGCTCCCGGTGAAGAAGCATCTGCCTGGTCTGCAGGTGTCCAGGACACACCAGTCGACTGCCTGACTCCCGGTCAGGCGAATGCACATATCAAGTCCTTGCAAGCCAGGGCTGTGCTGGCATCTCCAAGAAGAGGAAGGGTCCTGGCCCTGACCACGGGGCTCCCTTGATGGGAGGGATCACAAACTTGGCTTCCTGGAGGGCGTCGTGGGGTGCGCTGCCTGCCAGGAGACCCATTCCTGGTCACGGGGTTCTGTCCCACACAGTGGCAGGAGCCACGCATGATTCTTGGTGGAAGAAGGTCCGCACAGCTGTGTGGTCTCTGCGGCCCGGCAGGGAAGCCCCCACATCAGCCGTGAGGGAACTTCCCAAAGCTCAGCAGGTGCCTCTTCCAGCCGTCCCCCAGGTCTTCTCTTGGCCGCTGTCCTGAGCCTTGATCCATAGCTGACACTTCTAGAAAAGTCTTTACCGAGAAACAGACCGGCTGCCATCGCCGGCTAGTTTTTATTTTATTTGTATTTTTTAGTAGAGATCGGGGGTTTCCACCGTGAGTTTAGCGAGGATGGTCTCGATCCCCGCTGAACTCCTCATGATCCGCCCGTCTCGGCCTCCAAAAGTGGCTGGGATTACAGGCTTGAG